GAATGGAGCATTATAACAGGCATTATGCCGTGAAATATCGAGCACTGCCAAAAGCATTATACTGTGAAAAAACGAGCATAAGCCGCCGATGCCTACCCTCAAGTAGCATGCCCTTGGCGCCCTGGAAGTGGCACGAATGCGGCTGGTACACATGTACAAATACAATGATGTAATCGGAACTGGTCCAGGGCGCCAGCTTTGCACTTTGGGTCGGATTTCAGTGAGCGCAACCGTAGTATTCTGTCTAGTAGTATTATCCACATGCACACACGTGCCATGTAGTAACCAACACTGTGTCACTGTACCACTACCTCACTAGTTACCATGGGTACCGGTACATATCATAATTATAGCAAACGCATTGATTTAATCCGGCACTTCATAAACCAGCACCCTCGATCAACCTGCATACATTTCAACGACCAAAAATGTCCTTTTCATGCACACTCCAGCAGGTAAATCAGATTTGTTAATCCAGCACCCTGCCTGTATCCAGCAGAATTTGCGTAGCACAAATGGTGCCGGGTTATAGCGGGACCACTGTAACTGAAGGTGAACTGACCTCCCTCAGTCCACATGTGCAGTAGATAGCCAGGAAGAAAGTACATGTAAGTCAGGGTACTAGGTTGGGTGCGCTGTAAAGCGCATGTGGTGACCACCATCTCCTAGTATACCGTAATGTCGCGTATACAACCAGGCGCTTGCGGCCGTATAAGCCGCGGGTCAAACCATGCTTCCATTCAAGTTATGCTTCTACTCAAAACATGCTTCTGCGTCAGTATCTTCAGTCTACGCCGTACAGTGCACATTGTTATGCATGTGGTGTGCACATACAAGTACATGCACGTATGCTTCCATTCCTTTCAAATCGTGTTTCCGTGCCACGGCGCTCTTCAAAAATTAGCCTTCTATTCCGGTCATGCTTCTATACGGGTCATGCTTTTATACGGGTCATGCTTTTATACGGGTCATGATTTTATACGGGTCATGCTTTTATACGGGTCATGCTTTTATACGGGTCATGCTTTTATACGCGACACTACAGTATGTAGTCCTACGACCTGGCAAATCAGTCTGAAGAGGCGTGCGCCGGAGGTTCCGAATTTACGCTTTGAAGGAAAGGCTGAGCATGCAGTGGGGTTGATGCCCTCGTACTGTAAATACCCAAACTTTCGGCATTTCACGATTTTCGACATTTTGGAAGCGATTTGTTTTCAGCACGGGGTTAATACTGGCACATGTACATCACCCAAGCCGACGTGAGCAATTTCATCAGCGTTTTAATTTTTGGCTTTTCGGGCCGGTGCCGAATATAGCCGAAATTCAATAGCTGCCAGAATTGTGTGTGTGTAGACAGTACATGGCTAAGTCCTGTGCACTGTATATCATAGACAGATTCCCAAGAAAAAAAACCACTGACCTACTGAATTTGTCTGCGCTGACAACGTAACACCGTTATACGTTGCCACCCAACTGGCCGCCGCTCTGGCATCGTAACTTTCGTCCAGTGATCATTGTTATCGTCCACTTGATGAAGTCTCTGGAAGGTCCGTCTGAATGCGCTCTGGAGACCGTGGACTAAGCGGTTGCGGCTAAAAGGCGCACACCGCTCGCGGTCGCGGCCTTTGGCTTCCGTGTTCAGCTAAACAGGTGCCGGCTCACCTGTGGCCATTACAGAGAGTTCAAGTCGGTTAGTTACCGTATCAGCCATTTTGGTCTGTGGCCATCTTCGTCACTACTACTGGTATCCTTCCAGTTTTGCTGGTTCCGCCGAATGACGAGTGACAATGGCCGGATAATAAGAATGTCTGTGTCAGAATGATCCAAAACCAAGGGCTGGTCGCCTCTCAGAGGGCTCACGCACGCGCGCACCACAGCAAGTACCGCTGCAGCAGGCACGCCTGTACTTAGCGATAGAAACACGCGTCTCCAGGCCTGCGCAACACGGGTCGCCATTGTTCTTGCTCCGTCTTGAACACACTAGTAGTACACTCCAGTCCTGCAGTGAACAGAAAATAATAAAGGGAAAATGAAAAAGGAAACCAATACTTTACTCTCTTCAGTTCTCGCTAGAGACTGTGAAATGCCACGACACTTAGCCACTGTTCATGTACCCGGATGCTTCCAACACCGTGCACTGAAACTAATTTAGTGTCTGCAGCTTCAACAAAAAAAGACATCTCGAAGGGGCCAAAGACTTCAACGAAGGAAAGACAAACAAATAATTGGTTGCCATACGAAAATTCGACGTACATGGAAACTTGAAAATGAGACAGAAGTCACGACGAACTCATACATTGTATCGTCGACAAGAAAAGTACTCACGGACGGCTAAGAGTAGGAGTTAGCGCGTTGTTCCGCCAGATTCCGTGAGGAAACAGGAGCTAGCGACCAAATCCTCAACTAGGCTTTGCACAAAAGCTCAAGATAGGAACGAGGTGAGAAGTAATAAAGAAAATCCAGTAGCTGATAACACGCCGATACTCAGACCTTTCTCCAAGCTGCTAAATGCTACACTGATAGTAATACGTGTCATGTAGAGTTTATAGTACATGATACGTTGTTGATGCAGTGGCGCCTGGCATGCCGTGCATGATCCACGGGTAGACCTCTACGGTCACGTCAGAGCTTCCCGCTGCGCGCGCGGTTCTACTTCTTAGACTTTAGACTAGTTTAGTGATCATGGTGATTCTACGTCTTTGGAAGACATGACAATGACATGATGTGTAGGTCTAAGACTAAGAGTGCCGTCTAAGTACTACATGTAGTGATGTGATCGTGATCATGGTGGTGCATCCCACGCTGAAACTCGCAGATACTTCTGGCGGAAATGTGCATAATGTCACGTCTGTCATCATGGTCATGTCCCATGTCCTACAAAAATTAGTACAATGATTTTGTACAATGATTTTGTAGATAGGACATCCCGCGGAACCCAGCAGAAGGCCGGCCAGCATGCATCTATGCTGTTCCCATAGTGATCGTGACACGTTACTCGAAACTTTGTGTCGCCTCCGGCCGAGGAAGATGAACATGTCGCACTCAAAATAGACGCAACGAAGGCCTTTCGTCTCAAAAGTTGTCGTTCTCATGGCGGCTTGCCTCAAGCGAGTCGAGATACGTATCTTGCCTCTTTCCTTCACGAATTCCACTTTCCTCGTTGTGGAGTACGCCTGCACAAAGGAACTTGCAAGTGAATCGTTTTGGTCGCATTGAAAATTGCAGATGCACAAGAGGATCGGCGAAGCAATTTAATTCGCCAATCCTCTTGTGCACACAAAATTTGGGTTTGAACTTTGCTACTGCGATGAAGTTTTTACTTTCGCCATTGGTTTCAGGCGGCAGAAGGGTCTGGCTGAAAGCGATAGCGGTATGTCCATGACCAACACGATCAATGTGGCACGTCCTGGGTTGATGTCCAAGAAAGAACGTCCAATACCCAGTTTTAGCCTAGAGCTGTCGTATCCAAGAAATAAAAAAACGCCAACAGCAAGCTATGGCCAAATAATATCTTCCAGGCAGTTATTTAGCGCCTGTTGCCTCGTCTTCCTCCTCTGCATGGCCAGGTTTGGGGCGAAATGAACGCACGGGGCGCGAAGAAACATTTCAAAGACAAAACATTCAAATTATTAATATTTGAACCAATCGTTTCCAAAGAAGCACCGTGTGGCTACGAGAAACCCTACATGAAATCCCCAAGCAAAACCGGCTATTCGGTCGGGTATTCCATGGAGAATCGAATATACACTACCTCAATCCCCGCCGATAGCCCTTTCCCAAAGGTGCTCTTTTAATTCGCACTTAGTGCTTTTCGCGTCCCTCAAAATATGCTGAAAAAGTGCTCTTTGTTCTGTATGGTGCACGCCGTGCCTGATTATGTAAAGATCGGAAGGCCACACTGCACTACTGGTCAAGTCTGGCCACAGGCAGGGGCACACTTCTGGTCTAGTTTTGTCGTGGCATTGTATCTGTGCTGTCTAAAGAAAGAGTACAGAAAATTTCATTAGATTTCTTTGATGGACCTCGAAGTCATAAAGGAATCAATACAGATGTATGCGTTATTAGTATACCATTTGTACGCTACTATCTTTTGATTCATACTTGTCAAATAATTCTATCTTGGCTGATCTTAGTACTTGTGTGTACTTGTACTTGTACTTCCTTTAACCGTCCACACACTGCAGGACACACTGCAGGACATCAAACATAGCTAGCTGTGCAGTAGTTAGGGTCAGGCTCCAGACTGGGGTGGCATATTCTATTGTGGGGCGTACATATGATTTGTAGAGCAAGGCAATGTTGGGGTAAGGTAGATAGCGACCCGTACATGTATATCACAATAGATTTAATCGCAGAGTGAGGATGACAACGCTTGGGCGAGTATGACGATTGCGAAGACATCGACAGTTGAACCGTGACGATAATTTTCAAAGGTACATGTAACTAAAACTAATTCGGCAATGAAATAATGTATTACAAAAAAAAAGAGTCGACTAATGAATTGTATTGTATTGTATTTATTTAAAAGGATTCTCCAAAAGCAAATGGATGCTTATCACGGAAGTCTCCCACATAAATATCGCAAGAAAAATGGGGAAATGGGGGAGAGGAGAGTGGAAGATGAAGCATGGGAAGAAGGGAAACAAGTACCTAAATATCGAGGTATAAAAGCAGGAAAGAAATCGACGAGGGAAGAAATCACCTCTGCAGATAATAGCGGGACATTTAGATGAAAAAAACCCAGCAAGGATTAATTTTAAGGAAAAAAATTCTCAAACGGAAAAGTTCGGAATTCCAGTCAGAGAATATCTATGCTGTGAGTGATGAGCCTTTAGAGCAATGCGAAAATTGACAGAGGACTGAACGCAGCGGATGTGTTCTGGAAGTTTGTTCCATTCCACAGATAAACTGAAGAGAATTGAAGAAGTAATGTTTTCTCTTTTCCATGTTGATTGTATAGCCGGTGGTAACGCGGACGTGCAAACTTTACTTTACTTTTTATGTTGAGCTCTAGCATGCATGGACACCTAGTACCTTGGTATGGGGATACTCATGTATTTTGTTGTACGTATGGCCACCTGCAAGTACGAACTTTGAGGCTCCATAAGTACAACAATGTGAATATGTATCCCCGCGTGCCAAAGCACAATAATATTATGAGGATTTTGCGAGCATAATGTGAGAATCCATGAAAGCATAATACAGTTGAACATCGATTATCCGCACATCGACTATCCGACCATTCGATTATCCGTAACAGTTTTTTTGGGCGCACGTGCCGTAGAGTATGCACTGTGCATGTAGTGAGCCATTCAAAAAATACGAAAATTTTGAAAAGTAGCACTCTATTCTACTGTATTTACAATGTATATGTACAAGTGTGTTTTCTTATCCGGAACATTTGCCTTATCTGAACACCGCCTGACAGTTGTCTGCCCAGAGGTGGTCGGATAATCGATGTTCAACTGTAATACCATGATTTTGCGAGCATAATCCGCAGGAGCCTACCTCCGAACCCCTAACCATGCAGACCACCAGCACTGATCAGGTGCATTGTACACAATTGTGTAGCCTACATACTAGAACTGTGGTACAATCATGTAGTTATGGTCCTACCTCCGAAAGGATGCCAAATTTTGCTCCAAATTTTCAACCACCAAATTATGACAATAATTATGTCGGCATAATCCGCCGGTGCCTATTTCGTATCCACTCGTTTTGAACACACTAAAGCCTTTGTGAAATGAATGTTCAGCTCGTTCCGTTTATCGCAATTCTAAAACTATGGTCGCCCCGTCGCTTATTTATATTATTGCACGATTAAAGAGATCAATATAATTATGAGATATAGAACGAGTAAAAGACCGAGGTCCCCCGAGGTCTTTAACGATGCCTATATTTCATATATTGACCGATTATGAGGGCAATAATAGATTTATCACGACATAGCACACCTAAACTGTTTTTGCTGTGTTTATAGGAAGAAAGGAACGCTATTGTAATAGTACATAGTATTATGCCGTTTACATTGCATGGACTGTAAACAGAAGTTTTCAGCTGTCACTTGTATCATGTTCCCCAAGTTCTTTGACTGAGAATCTGACAGTTTGGGTTGAAGTAAAGAAAAATCTGAAGCCAAATGCTGGGACTTCAATGAAGTCCGAGCATTTGGCTTCGGATTTTTCTTCTTTCATTTCTGATTTGTTTCTAAGTTGAGGAAAAAGTTCTAAGTCCTCAGGCTAAGGTGTCAATATAAGTGGTCAATATAAGCGGTCAATATAATTATGCTGATAATTGACCGATTAGAGATCACAAGTTTCTGCGGCGGTCAATAAAAGAGAGTGATACATATTAATACACGTATTATTTCGTTCTCATCTTAGTTGAGATAACCCTGCTATGTCTAATACTACCCATCTTTAGGCGAGTACTCGTATGCCTTTAAGCCACGGCCTTATATTCGAAACACCGCTGCTTTCCTAGCTATGAATTTATTAGATGGAAAATGACTCACCCACTGCGCCATCCCATAAAAGTCAAAGTCCACACAGACATTTCAATGTAAATCCACTTGTTCACCCTGCCTGCTGGGCTGTAGGATTGATAGTATAATACTTATTCCTCCATTTTTATAAAATATACTTCAAATGTGCTGAGCCAGTAAATCTAATTAAAAATAGAAGAAATCACATGTAAACGAGTTATGAAGCAGCTATCCACGACTGTGACAAGATTATAAGCAGTCAGAAAGTGCGATAACAGGGCACAACACTGACGGGCTACTGAGACATTTAGCGACCTGAGACCTAGCTCTAACACATCTACAGTGCGCAAACCAACAGCATTCCTGCTTGGAACGTTCAAGCTTATGGTAGAACCAATGAGGGGAAGGTGAGAACAGAGAAAATGTTCACAAGCTAAGTTCCACGGTAACAAAGAATGTCGACCATTACAGAACAATGACAAGACCAGTTAATAACATGACAATACAGTCTAAGTTAGTAAGTACAATTCGAAGCAGCAAAGCAACACACCACCCAACTAAGTTACTTGGGTGGGTCGGCAATATCAGAGATAAAGAAAAGGGAAGCTTTGCGAAAACGAATTGTGCACAACAATTCCGGATGAGCCGTCATGAACAATACAGCGAAAGTACTTCGTGTGAAACTACTTGTTATTTATTTATTTTATTCAACATCTTATGGCTTCCGATGACAGCCAAAACGGGAAGATGTGGGTGATAGCCAACCATGGTAAAAGAAGTAGAAGATTATATACATGAAAAGGAAACAGCCGAAAAGCTATATTGATTAGTTTTTTTATTATTATGGTGCACGCAGTCATCAGCAGGCCCTCAGATTCACTTTAAATTCTTTCAATGATGCAGAAGTCTTCACTGAGCCGGGAAGTTGTAGCCACGCATAGTAGCCCTGGAAGAATGGCGATCTTGTGAGTTGCGTTGACTTGGCCTTGGGAAGAGACACTTTGTTTCTGGTTGAG